TTCTCATTCCCTGGGCTGGAAGTACCTTCCTCCTGTCTCTCTTTCCTGAGTAGGGATTTGTCTCTTATTCCCTGGGCTGGAAGTACCTTCCTCCTGGCTCTCTCTGAGGCCCCCCTCTTCTCTCTGTTGTCTGTTTTCTACCAGCTCCTGCTTCTCCCATGGGGACTTCTCTGCCACTTGGAATCCCTCTTCTCGCACCCCGGCTGACTCTGAGCTCTGCTAACTCTGTCCGCCTCTGCCAGGCCCTTTCTTCCCCCTCCCCACTCCAGCCCCTCACCCACCCACGTGAACTCTGGACTCCTACTGGGATCTAAAGGGCTCCACTGGGGGCTCCAGGGACTCAAGAGTGAATTCCCCTTGAGGCAGAAAAGAGGAAAAAGAAACTCTTTGGAACTGAGCAAGTGAAAAATCTTAAAGGCCTTCTCCACAAATGTTGGTAAATAGCTGTATCCCTTATTAAGTAGGTAACCTCAACTTGCTCCATTTTCATCAGAAACACAATTTATATAAAAATATTAAGTGGAGATAAACCAATGAGTTTGTATGTATTGGTCTGTTTTACTGTCTCATGACTAAAATTTTGAAAAATTAAAAGATCTGCTTGCATCCATCTGTACATTTAAGTATGGATCTATATATATATGTTATGTGTATGTGATAATTTTCTATCTCTGCATGATGCTGTCAACATATATAAAAGAGCTCTATTTGATTAGCTTAAAATAAGCACTATATAAAGTATTATCTCAGAAAATAGAAACAAACTTAATTGCCCTTTAGCTCATGTGACTTGAGTAATTCTTTAAAAATAAACTAGTTTTACAATTACTGACAAAAATAAAAATAGAAATTCTTCAAAATTGTCAGCATTAAATATAATACAGACATACAATTTTGTCTGTTTTTGCTGGACAGGTTTGTGTTGTCTCTATTAGATGTTTAAAGCCATAAGTTATAAATCCAACTATACAGTGGAATGCATAGTAAAAATGAGTTGCTTAATTGCTTGATGCATGTCAGTTGTGAAAGGAAAAAAAGAGGCTGTAAAAGTGTTGTGAAAATCTTATCTTGTGTGGTCAAAACTGACTGAAAATGGATAACTTCACTTATAAGGTTTTATGAAAAATTAGTTTTAGTTGTACATTGATGCAAAAGTAGAATTTGGTCTTATCTGCTAAAATGACAAATTTTTCTTGGAGTATTGGTCTGAGGACATGAAGGGTTTTCCTTGTTTTTTAAGTAATTGACCTAGGAAACAAAGATTTTTTGTTTTATCTAGATAATTTCTTGTGTTTCATATTGTCTTTTATTAGGTCTTTACTTAAGAAAAGCAAATCTTCTAAATATTAAAAGAACTAAGTTCTTGTTTACAACTATGTAAACTTTTGTATTTGCCTTTAAATATTTTATCGCTTTGATTAATATCATATTTAATAAAGTGTTTTAAACTTTTTGACATTTTGTACAAACTTCCCAAAATCAAATTCTAAGTTAAATCTTTCTGATCTCAAATTAACTTTGGGATTTTCCAGTTGGGCCTCTGGAAGGTCAAGAGATGTGTCTCTCACCTTGTAATAGAGTAATATTAAACAATTATTCTTATTTTATATGTTAAATTATATAGGAAGCATTTCCAAATAAATCTTCTGTGAGTTATATTTATGGGTATGTTATTGATATGAGTGTTCCAAAAATTGTATGAGATTTCTAGAAATCGAATGTGTTAGTCAAAATTTTGGTTATATTAAAATGTTGTATACTACACAAATAACCACGTTTCCTTGCCAATTGCATCATTATTAAAATAAACTCTCATCAGATTTTTAACCACGATTGTTTCAAGTCTCTGTCATTCATAGACAGCTATTCTTTTACTTTAATTCTTCTCTAAAAGCATTTGCCATTAGTTGCAGTCCAAGATTACTTCTTCAAAAAAAAAAAAAAATCATGGAAAACACTCTGACAAGCACTGTGAAATACTGGTTTCTGACAACTTTAAGATGCCACTGGGCTGAGTAAGAATTTCCAGAACTCTAATGAAGAAACCAATGAGTTCATAAGATTGCTAACTAAGATCACGGAGGACAGAATTAAGTACATGGGACTAAATCCACCGATGAGGATATTTTAAAATGATTTTTTTGCTGGAAATATTGGTGGTTCTTTAAATTTTTTGTTTTAATTGATTTAAGATTTTTTTACCCTATCTATAGTTTACAGAAGTTCAGTAAAGTATACTTTTGTGAATAAAACCTGAAACAATTACTTTTTCTACTTACCTGATCCATCTAGAATTCAGAAACTGAGTATTCTTATTTTTGTGGCAATACAGTTATTTGCATAAGTTCGGTAAGAATCTGTTGTCCTTGTACTAAGACAACTAGAAGCGCTGGTTATATTGCCAAGGCTTTGACTGGTATATCATATTTTCAGATATGACTAGACAACTTTAAGAAACTGAGGTTGACCTTACGGGGCCCATAAAACCCCACTGGAAAAGCTGCCCCGTTTCCAGCATTACCAGGGGTAAGGGATGTCACTTCTTGGCAGGCGCAGGAACCAGGATATTTTGGGAACCTTGAGAAGAGAGAATTTGCCCAAATCTATAGGTGCTACACATGCAGCCTGAAGCAAGGCCTTGGTGTGGCTTCGCAGCCTCAAGAGTCTTTACCAGTCCGATCTGAGACTCTTTATCAAAAGTCCCAGCAAAGCAAACTTTAAAAAGCTTGTCAGTCACTATTCTTGTTGCGGTGATACAAATAATCAAGACAAGTTTATGAGACTAAACTTATTTTGCAAACAAATCTGTCTAACTTTGATTATTTTGTTTAGAAATGAAGGTGATTTGAGAGAGGAAAATTATGTTTCAGGAGAAAACTATAGTGCACCCACTGTTAGATTCTGGCCTCTTCGAGGTTTTGCTACCTACCTGCAACCTGAAATGGATCCTGAATTCTTCTTGTTTCCTCCAACATCTGACTGCGACTTTCCAAACTATTATTTCCCATTTTCTTCCATTCTTCAAATTTGGAATTGTTGCCTCTTTGCCGAAGTCTTGCGAGCTGGAGCTGGATGACTTGACATAAACCTCAGCAGCTCATATGGACAACTTTCATGGCATCCAAACTGCAAACCAGGGAGCTCTGTCGTTTATAACAGTCTGCTCCCCTCCAGCCAAAGGTGCATCAGCCCAGCATCTAGAAAGCTTCTGCACTGCCTGCCCTCTGGGCTCAGAATCGGAGTTCATAGTTTGTTCCAACTATTTTTCTTTTTATTTTTGTAGAAACCAAATTCCCCTCACTAAAGGCCTGATGCCTCACACCATCCAGCTGAACCCCTCTACCACCAAGCCCTGGCGGGTGACTCTGCTGGTCCTTACTGAACAAAAGGCAACCAAATAAGAAAGGGAACTTCTAGTTTTCAAGGAAAGAAGAGAGTAAAGGTGTAAAGATTCTCTGACCAACCGTTAGTTGGGTTTCGGAACCTTCTTCTAGGCCCGTCTGTGTACGTCCTTGTAAAGTGACATTTTCAGAAAGAATCCTGCAAAGTCAGTTTAGCAAGAGCCCATCCCCCCCCATTCTTGATTTCTGATCACCTTGATATTTTTTCAGCCTCAAGATCTGATTGGGTCCCTCATCCTCCACCATCCCCAGGTGATGGCGGTCACCCTGGCCTGCCTTCAACAAGAACCCTGTTAGGTGGCTTTAGCCAGAATCCCCTGACCCTGAGGCTTCCTCTTGGTAACTCTCCACCCACTGACCCCAGCCCACACCTTGGCTGTGAAGTCTCGCTGCCCGTGTGGTGTTTGGAGCTGAGCCCTGCTAGGGTTTGAGTACTGGACTCTGCAAACCTCATGTTGAAATCTGATGCCCGCTGTTGGAGGTGGGGCCTAATGGGAGGTTTTGGGGTCATGGGGGTGGATCCCTCATGAATAGATTAATGCTCTGGGGTGGGGGACAAGTTCTTATTCTGGCAGTTCCCATGAAAGCTGGTTGTTGAAAAGAGCCCGGCCCTCCCTCCATGCCATCTCCTGCTTCCTCTCTCTCCATCTGAGCTCTGCACTGCACACACACGGGGCCTCCCCAGATGCAGACACCGGCGTCATGCTTGTTATACGGCCTGCAGAGCTGTGAGCCAAAACCCTCATTTCTTTATAAATTACCAGCCTCAGGTGTTCCTTCATAGCGATGCGAAATGGACAGAGATGAGCCCAGTCTCCCTCCCCCACTGCAAAATCCCCCCGCGCTCTCCCTGTACCAGTTGCCCTGGTCCTGAATCAAGTCTTCCTTCCTGTGCTTTAGCAAGTGTCATTCAATATTTGATTCTTCAACACCAAGCCCCTCTAGTTGGAGGGCGCTGCTTAGGTGTTACTTGATTTTGGGATGAGCCGACTCCGCTGTCCTCCGTCTCTCTGTTGCCGGCGGAGACAGCCGAGGGCAGGATGGACGGTCGGCCGCTGCACCACGCCCCGGGGTGCCTGCCTCTCTGGTCACAGTTTGAATATTCCTGCTGCATTTTCCTGCCAGGTGGAGGGTGTGACTGCGTGGCTGGTGGGGACGAGGTCTCCCTTCCCACCAAGGACCGAAGGGCAGTCCTTAGACGGAATCGGAGCCCTAGATGAGAAACATTGTGAGCCTCACTGGGTCAGCGCCCGTTGTTAGCTTCCAGGACTGAGAATGGGGAGGAAGGGGGCATCTCCCACCCCAGGGTGCCCCCTCCTGGTGGTGCCAGTGCACGGAGGGGCACTGAGGGCGTGTGTGGCATGGATGTGACCTGAGGCTCCTTACTGAGACTGTTTAATCCTGTTTTCAAGATGAAACCTCAGTGACAGCCTGGCCCTTTGTACACATCTAATGCTGCAGATAAAGTGGCAACATGACCTGGAGTTCTAGGAAATGCCCACGCTTTGTTTTAGCATCTAAGTACCTGTCCAGTGGCTTAGGAAACAAAAAGACGGATGGAGACAATTGTTTCTCCTCCCCAAATAAAGACCACCGGGATGTGAAATCAGAAGTTTAATATGACACAATTAAATATATTTATATATCTCACACCGGAGGTTTCTCTTCAAACATAAGGAGTTAGAAATTACAAGTAGGTATATGCTTCCTATATTCAGATAAATTCATTTCTATTAATTAAATTCCAGATAAAGAGAAGTAATTTTGGAAAAGAAATGATAGCTACATTAAAGCAGATATTCATTACAATACCACATAGAGACATAAGCAATATTTCGGCATCATTCTGTCCGCTCAGTAGGCCGCGTTCCCTCTGGTGCGGCCTGGAGAGCACAATCTATCTAAGGTGGAGGAAAAAGCTGCGGGAAGGGCCGGAAGGAGATGTGTTTTCTATCCTTAACCCCACACAGGAAATCTGCAGCCCACACAGCTGCCTCTGCACTGCCTTCCATGTGATTGTCCTGGGTTTAATGAAGTGAATTGTCCTATTTCTAGGGTAGGGGGTGAGGGCGAATCTGATACTCAAATGTTATTCTGTCAAATCCGAGTATCTCTGTGTGCTGAGGTTTACATGATGTCAGAACACGTGGTTCCCTTCCAGGCTCTAAGCAGTGTGTGCAGGTGGCCCTGATCTCCTCTCCTGGGAGCGAAATCCTCGCAGCCCTCTCTGGGCCGCCCTGACCTCCTCCTCTCCCGGGAGGGAAATGTTCAGGGCCCTCTCTGTGGCCCCACAGGTCCGGGATGTGCCTGGAGGAGCCAGCAGGGGCCTGGCAGGGTTCATGTGCTCTTGGGGACCCTCAGAGCTTGCTCAATGCCCAGACTCTTCCTGGTTCTGGTTATCTCACAGGTGAGCATTCACGGGGGCGTCTGTTTTCATAATGTAGAAATCAATCTTTTAACATTAAATACACATCTCAATGTTGGGGCATCTGTAACTTTGCAAAGGTGAGGTCAGGGGAGTGCCAGCCTCAAGTGGGCACTACCCATGGGGTGGACAGGTGTCTGCCCCCGGGGAGCCCCTGAATCTTTCTGCTTGGGGTGACAGGTGTGGCTGATGGGGGCTGTCCATGGTGCCCAGGGCAGTGTTGATGGAGATGCAGTGAGGTGCTGTGATTGTCTCACTTGCCCCGAAGCTGCAGGATGTTCAGTTCTGACCCCGTGGCTTCTCCCAATGATAAACTGTCTTAAAGACAAATGCCAAATGTGTCTTGTGCGCCGGGCGGCCTCACTGAGTGCTGCCGGCTTCCCCGGCCCCTCCTGCACAGCAGACCCACCCTCCCAAAAGCGGCAGATGACAAGCACACTCTTCCTGCAAACTGCCTTGAACGTACTGGCTACCGCATTGTTCACGCAACATTACTTGCAGCTAAGAACGGGAATGGGTGCTTTAAGAAAAAGTATTTTTTTTAAGCAAGTGAAAATCGATGAACTGATTCTCCTCCACCTATAACTGGATTTTTCCACAAATCTCTCTTTATTATTGTTTGATTAAACAAAAATACACATTTTAACTGCTTAACTGCTAAACTGCGCTGACTACGGGAGAGCTAAGGGCCCTATTACTATGCAGTTATAATAGAAGACACACAATTAAAGTCAGATCACGATTCCTGACGACATCCGTGGGGTGGGGGCTCCCCCGAGGCCCCGAGGCCGCCGCTCACTGGGGAAGGGCCTTGAGGATGGCGTTCACCTCTTCAGCCACGGCTGTCAGCGCGAACTCAAACTGCTCCTGCAGGGTGACAGAGGAGAGAAGTGCCAATGAGATGGCGTCCTCCCCCCACTCCTGCCACAGCGTCAGCTCCCTGCAAATGAGAGCTGTGTCCCCCCTTTCCCAATGCAGCATCAGCTCCGTGGCCGTTTCGCAGAAAGAAATTGTTTAGCAAAAAAGGCAAAAGGCTCAGATTTCCTTAGAAAGGAAAGTGTACCTTTTGGTGTATCCAACCATGGACACACATTGGAACTTCTCTCGCACTAGAAAGCCTCATCTTTCCTAAGCTGCCCACAGAAGCAGCGAGAAGGAAACAGCTCCCTGCGTCCTGCCCCGTCCTTCTGACACTACGACTCCACGATTCCTCCTCACGGTCGCCCGCCTTGGTGGACGGAGTGAGGGGCAGGTGCAGACACCAGACAGATGTGGCCATTAAAACTCACAATGAGGGCCACGCTTGGGCGTTTCCTGTCCTCAGAAGTGTGGTGTTTCATCGCTTTCGAAATCCACCTGTTACTCAGACCAGACCCACTCCATTCCACATGCTGAGAAACCTCCCCTTGTCCACACCCCTCCTGGCTCAGGGCACGTGCACATCCACAGCTGCTCAGGCACGTGTGTCCACAGCCACTCGGGCATCCACAGACACTCGGGCAGGCACAGACACTCGGACACGTGTGTCCACAGCCACTCGGGCATCCACAGCTGCTCGGGCAGGCACACCTGAGGGGCACCCCTCCCTCCACGGACAGCCTGCCAAGAGCATCCAGTGGGCGTGAGGGACGGGTTCACAATGCCAGGACTATTCGCTCCTCCAAAGACCAGGGCTTAGCGCCGGAGAGCGTATCTGCCTCCTCTCCCGCACGTGAGGTAGATGAATGCTCCTTTCCGCTTGCTCTTCAGTTTCCACCTCAAAACACTGCTATGGAAAACCCGAAAGCAGCACTCTAGCTACAGCCAAGAACGCGTGGACGGCAACCACATGCAGGCTGTTACCCAGCTAACAACTCTGGGAAGCAAAGCCCTGTCGACGGCTTCAGTACTTGGTCATTAAGGAATAGGGTAGCCCCAAAGCAAAAACGATAATTTCCATTTTTGAATGTTTAGTGCATAACAGAAACATGGAAAATAGCTTGAACCAAGACATCAGAAAGTCAAAATAATGGGATGCTCATTTTGAGACAAAAGACAGTTTCTCCTTTTGTATTCCTCTGCTCTGATGCCGACGGAATGGTCTGCTGGGGACTCTACCCACCTTTGGCAGTGTGGCCACGCGGCCTCTTAGGGGATGTGTTAGAATCTATTATTAAAGGAGTCAACTGAGTGTGGCGGCCACGTCAGGGTGGGAGCCGGGGAGATGCGTGTGCCTGCGCCCTGTCTCTCTCCCCTCCGCAGTGCCAGAGAGCACCTTTCTGCTCCTCAAAATCATGTGGGAGCCGCCCCTGCGGGGGCACGGGCTCAGGTCGGGCTGTGCCGGGAAGGTCCCCAAACGTTCTGTCTAAATGCTGACTCCTGCCCCTCCCACAAGGAAGGTGCCGTTTAGGGGATCCAGGCTAAATACGCATCAACAGCCACCCAGGCCATTTCTTCCCCAGTGCTGGGCTGCCAGTGCCCTGAGGCTTTGTGAGGGCTCGGAAATGCCGAAAACTAAGCGTGGCTTTTCGGGAAGCGAAATGTAAGTGTCATCTGTCTATTTACATCTTCCGACACGCTGGAAATCTAGCCTGAGAAATGATCTTTAAAGGGAAGAATAGAGAAGCACCGCCGTCCCGCCGCCCGCCGCCCGCAGTGCAGTGGAGGCTGGAAAGCGCTTCCACCCCCAGGGCCGGGTGCCCATCCCGCAGAGCTGCCCGGCCTCTCACACAGCCACGTGCGGCGTCCCACAGGAAAGCCCAGTATCCATGCTACGGGGGAGGGGACGGGTGGGGGAACCCCACCAGGTGTGGATCGTAACTATTTCCAGGACTGCACAGTCACCGGACAGAGCAGCAGGAAGGGAACCGGGCGGCGGAGACACGCTCTCTACTCACTGGCCATGTTTGACAATTGTTACCGCACTGTTGGGCTCAAAGGAGAAGCAGCCCCGCCGGGCATCTGGGCTGGTGTGTGCTGAGCACCTTACTCAGAGCCCGCTGGGCCCTGTGGACGTCGGTTGGCAGGGGGAGGGGGCGCTTCCCGGAGGGTGCTGTGAGCCTCAGAGCTGGCGTTTGAGGGGACGGGGCTTGTGGATCATCTTGTCCTTTATCGTGAAGGGTCAGCCGCGTGCAGCGCCGGGATGCAGCGCCCATCCCCTGTGGGTCCTTGAAGGCCTGGGGCCATGTTCTGAGCAGCATCTGCTGAGCAAGTGTCACCTAGACCCGCACCCTAGATCCGGGGTAGGCGGGGAAAACCCCAGCCTTTGGAGAACGTCTATGATAGGAGTTTATTTCAAAGGAGTAAAACACAATAGCAATGGATGACCAGATGACCGTCTTAGCCTAAACTGCCTCTCAGTGCCAGCAGTCTGAGCGGGAGGGGCGCAAAGCCTCCTGGGTTTGCAAAGACAGGACATTTGAGAGGCCGAGTCAGGGCATTCTAAGCAAGAAAGCATTTTTGAACATACACTAAAATAAAATTTGAGGCCTGCTGGAGAACGATCCCACAGCTTCTTCCAGTGGAACACTGCACCCCTTGGAGAAGTGGCTGCGGCGGGACGGCCCAGCCAGGCTCAGGCCAGGTCAGGCTGTCTGGTCACCACCCCTGTGTCCACACTGGACAGCGAGTGGGAACGCCCCTTCTCAGGCTGTCCTGGGGCAACCACAGGGTGCCCACATAGCTGGTGGAGGGATGGAGGCCGCAGGAGCCGCCGTGGCTCTCAGACACCTGCTGCTGGAGTCAGGGTAGGCTGGGGGTGGAAGCCGTGGAGCTTTGCGGAGGCCGCTTGGATTTCTGTTTGTGCTTATGTTTATATTTGTAATTCTTCAGGTGTAAACAAAGGCCTGGGTGGAGATAGGAACCTTAGAGGGGGCCTCAGTGAACGTGTCTCTGAGCCACCTGTGCCCTCCAGGAGGCTGCACACACCCGTGTGGGGCGGCTTCCCCCAGCACCTCTCAGAAGGGGGTGAGGACGACACACCTTGCTGTGTCTGTCACCTCCAGCTTCTCTTTTCACAAAAGTAGACCAGCTCCAAGCCACACTGAGAGAGCTGAGCCCTGCCCAAGCTAGGGACTAGGCATTGTGTGTGCACCGGGGCAGAGGACAGAGATGGAGAGATGGAGAGAGATGGAGACAGATGGAGAGAGACGGAGAGGTGGAGAGAGATGGAGAGATGGAGAGAGACGGAGAGGTGGAGAGAGACGGAGAGAGGTGGAGAGAGACAGAGAGATGGAGAGAGATGGAGAGAGGTGGAGAGAGATGGAGAGAGGTGGAGAGAGGTGGAGAGAGACAGAGAGAGGTGGAGAGAGACGGAGAGAGACGGAGAGAAGTGGAGAGAGACAGAGAGAGGTGGAGAGAGACGGAGAGAGATGGCAAGAGGTGGAGAGCCACAGAAATGAACAGTTCCAATGGCACAGGAGGCCTTGGGAGAGGTGGGCTGCGGGCCTGAGGCTGACGGGTGAGTGTAGACTGCACTACGCATGACGGAATCCGTGTCTGTCACTCCAGTGCTGTGCTGGGTTGGGAAGATAGGAGCATGTCTGGGCCATGCCCTGCTTCTGGGACCGAGGACTACACTGGGTACATCTGAGGAGGAGGCTGAGGTCAGGCTTTAGGACAAGGGGCTGGCACAGAAGAAAATGGGGAAGGAAGAAACTAAAATGCAGATGTGAGACGACAGGTTGGGGAGAGCGACGCACGGGCAGCACGTGGACATGCACGGGGTCTCCCGTCCAGTGAGAAAAGCACGGGGGTCTCCCGCCCAGCGAGGGGGCGTGGGGCTTCTTGGGTGTGGGACACACTCATCACTGGCTCTACTTCTGGAACTGACAAATGTAAAAAAAGAAACACCATTGTGGGCAGGAAAGTGTTAAGGTCCTTGGTTAAATGGGAAACTCTTGAGACGTGTGGCGGGAAGGAAGGGAAGAACCGCTCTACCACAGATGCACAGATGGGAGAGAGGTGTGATTTCAGCCTTGTCTGCCATCCCGCATGTCTGCTGAGGGTGTGTGTACACAGCGATGTGTGTGGGTGTGTGTGTGTGCATGCAGCTGTGTATGGATGTGCACCGTGTGCGTGGGTGCGTAGGTGTGTGTGGGTGTGTGCAGTGGTGCAGGTGTGCATGGGTGTGTACAGGTGTGTGGGTGTGTAGATGTGTGTGGGGGTGTGCACCGTGTACACCTGTGGAGGTGTGTGGGTATGCACAGTGTCCGTGGCTGTGTGGGTGTGCACCCCGTGGGTGGGTGTGTAGGTGTGTGTGTGGGGTGTATGCATGGGTGTGTGCAGGTGTTTGGGTGTGTGCAGTGGGTGTGGCTGTGTGCATGTGTAGGTGTTTGTGGGTGTGGGGGTGTGTGCAATGTGTGGGTGTGTGCAGTGTCCATGGCTGTGTAGGTGTGCACTCTGTGCAGATGTGTGGGTGTGCACAGTGTGCGTGGCTGTGTGGGTGTGCACCACGTACGTGGGTGTAGGTGTGTGTGGTTGTATGCATGGGTGTGTGCAGGTGAGTGCACCGTGTGTGTGGGTGTGTAGGTGTGTGTGGTTGTATGCATGGGCGTGTGCAGATGTGTGTGTGCACTGTGTGTGGGTGTGTGTGGTTGTATGCATGGGTGTGTGCAGGTGTGTGCACCGTGTGTGGGTGTGTAGGTGTGTGTGGTTGTATGCATGGGTGTGTGCAGGTGTGTGCACCGTGTGTGTGGGCGTGTAGGTGTGTGTGGTTGTATGCATGGGTGTGTGCAGATGTGTGTGTGCACTGTGTGTGGGTGTGTGTGGTTGTATGCATGGGTGTGTGGTGTGTGTGTGCACAGTGTGTGGGTGTGTGGTTGTATGCATGGGTGTGTGCAGGTGAGTGTGCAGTGTGTGGGTGTGTAGGTGTGTGTGGTTGTATGCATGGGTGTGTGCAGGTGTGTGCGTGTGCACAGTGTGTGTGGCTGTGTCGCCTCTGGCAGCTCGTGTGGTGTCAAATCCTGAGCTGCGGTTCAGCCTCTGGGCGCCTGGACTTTTTTTCTAAGATGACGGAGTTTGTGGTCAGGGACTGAGTGAAATATTTTCTATTCGACCCAAATTCCAGGGAGGAAACGGCTCTCCCGAGGGTCTTTTTTACTGTAGCGATGGTGTTTTGCTGTCGGGGCCTGTGGTCATCCTGGTCTCCGGGCGCTCACATCTACGGCTCGTTCCTTCCTTGTCTTCAGTTCCAAACAAGGCGACGTGACTTCCTCCGTTCAAAGGAGCTGCAGACGCCTCCTCTTGGCTTCATGGAAGAAAAGCATTCAGACTGGACCGCAGCATTGTGCCCAAATAATTTTTCTATCTTTGTGAATTTGAACTTCTAGGGGAAGTTCAGTCTCGGGGCAATGTTGGGCAGCGCAGTCATGGGTTGACAGTGACTTTCGCATGGTTCCCATTTCCTTATGCCTTGAAGTTCCAGGAGCTGAATTTATGTGCATGCTCCAAGACGGCTCCTGAACACAAACCCTAAGGAAGACGGGGAACTCCTCGGGATGCCCAGTCCAAGAAGGAAGCAGCTAGGAAGCTGACTCTGAATCTGGAGTGCAGAAAACGGAGCTTTGGGTCACCAAGTGATCTGGGCAACAGGGCAAGAGTGTGTACGTGTTATCATCTTGCCATTTATTTATGTATTTTATATTGAAGTTCTGGGATCCACGTGCAGGGTGGGCAGGTTTGTTCCATAGGCAAGCATGTGCCATGGTGGTTTGCCGCCCCCATCAACCCATCACTGAGGAATTAGGCTCCGCATGCATTAGCTATTGATCCTGATGCTCTCCCTCTCCCTTCCCCACTGACAGGCCCCAGTGTGTGCTGTTCCCTTCCCAGTGTCCATGTGTTCTCATTGGTCAGCTCTCATTTACAAGTGAGAACAGGCGGTGTTTGGTTTTCTGTTCCTGCATTAGTTTGCTGAGGATAATGACCTCCAGCCCCATCCATGTCCTTGCAAAGGGCATGATCTCGTTCCTTTTTATGGCTGCATATTATTCCACAGTGTATTCGCACCACATTTTCTTTATCCAGTCTATCACTGACGGGCATTTGGGTTGGTCCCAGGTCTTTGCTGTCATCTTACCATTTAAAAATAGAGTAGAATGGAATACCTGGCACGTAACAATTGTGATTGTGGCTTTCTCTCTCTCTGATGAGTCCCGAAGCACCTCACTTCACGAAGGGTCTTGGGACCACCCTTGCACGCCTCAGTCATCAGTGTGCCAGGAAGGGCTCGTTCTGGCAAACAGGATACACACAACGGAGGCCTGGAGGCTTTGCTCTTTGCAATGTTTTTTCACTTTTGGCAAGAAGATATCCCCTTGAGATGATTTTGCCCATCCTAAAACCAGTGTGTGTTCTGGGCAAACTCACCCGTCCGGAGGGGAAGAGGCTGCCTGAGAGGCAGGCAGACACGTGGGGAGGAAACTAATTTGAATTTAGATTTCCTGGGACTTATCCCAGAGTGGGCCTCGGTGTGGAGTCACCATCACACCTGCCTGAGGTGGCGCTTGCTGTCCATTCCTGGTTATGTGTGCCCCGTTCTCCCAGCCTCCATGGCCTCCTCTGTCCAGTTCAGAGCCACCTGAAGCTCCCGGGACTCAGGGCCAGCCAGAAGGCGGTACGTGCCTGTCTTCACAAGGCCACCTCTTTTGCTGCTAGGCAGCCAGGCCAGGAGGATGGTCAGTGCGGCAAGATGGACCCTTCCATGGATGGACCCTTCCATGGCATGAAACCTGGGAACTCCTTGGTACAGAGAGGCCAGACATACATCAACCTCACGTCCAGTTCTTGTTGAGACAAAGCTCACCCAAACTTTTTTGTTTTGACCGCTGTTGCTGCTGGAACAGCAGCTGTCCCCTGTGTCACTTCCTCTCTTGACAGCCTCACAATACGTGCCGAGTGCTGTGGTGAACAAGCAGAAGGAAAGACAGACGTGCGCACAGTCCCAGCTTCTCCCCGAGAGACACTGAGGAACCACACAGGGAAAAATCAGCACCCAGCCAGGCAGAAACCTCCAGACACACACCTCAGTGGGTGTGGACGTGAGGCTCCCCTGTGAGGGACATTCCTGCCCCCCCGCCCCGCCCGGACCACAGGGGACGTGGGATACACCTAGACAAGAGACGTTCCACAAAGACAGAGCAAGGCTGCTGGCGCTCTAGAAGACCTCACGGCCGTGAAGCGTCCCGGACAGCAGAGGAGCCATGAGCCCCTCGCATGGCCGCCCCGGGCATGTCCTGCTCCAGGGGAAGTTCCCTGGTGGGGCACGGAGGGCGTCAGGCTGGGACTATCGGTCAGTCAGTGGTTTGTTTAGATGCTGACTTCCTGGGTTTGGTCACTGCACTGTGGTTACGTGAGGTGTTCATATTTGGGGACACTAGGTGGAGGGTTGGTGGATTATTTCTGAGTTTTTTTTTTTCCTCTGGAGGCTGAGGCAGGAGAATCACTTGAACCTGGGAGGCGGAGGTTACAGTGAGCTGAGATTTCACCACTGTACTCCAGCGTGGGTGACAGAGCGAGACTCCGTCTCAAAAAATAAAACAAAAAAACCCAAAACAACAACAACAAAAAAAACGAAGAAAATATACCGTCCCAAGACTTACAAAGAACTTTCACAAAATCACGTGATGGTGCTACCAGTTGCACAGAGAGGGCAAAAAGAAACAGGGGAGTAGAGAGGCCAAAGGCACGCCAAGCCCAGCCTCAGGGCGAGAAGCCAGACACATAACAACCTCATGTCCAGTTCTCGTTGAGCCAAAGCTCACCAGAATTTTTTTGTGTTGACCCCTGTTGCTGCAAACTGGGTCTCTTCAGCAAGTGTGAGCGATGCTGGGTGCTCCAGGATGCTGTGCCCTGGGTCCTCCACAAAGTGCAGGCCCCAGAGAGGCCGGGCAGCACTCAGCGAGCTCAGAACATCCTCCGGAGGGCTCTGGGATTTATCGTCAACCTGTGTCTACAAAAATACAGCATTCTGCCCCCACCCCCAAATCTAGTGAATGGAAAGAGCCAGTGAATCGAGTTCCTACGACTTGAGATGTGGCTGCATCTGGAGGTGTTGCAGGAATCGTCAGTGGACCTCTGGGGGCCCAGATGTGCCCCCACCCACGCAGGACCGGTGTGGACGAGGCCGGCCAGAGCAGAGCAATGGGTGTGTGGCTCACATTAAACCAGGCCGTCCCCGTGCTCCTGTGGCTCACAGTAAACCAGGCCGTCCCCGTGCTCCTGTGGCTCACAGTAAACCAGGCCGTCCCCGTGCTCCTGTGGCTCACATTAAACCAGGCCGTCCCCGTGCTCCTGTGGCTCACAGTAAACCAGGCCGTCCCCGTGCTCCTGTGGCTCACAGTAAACCAGGCCGTCCCCGTGCTCCTGTGGCTCACATTAAACCCGGCCGTCCCCGTGCTCCTGTGGCTCACAGTAAACCAGGCCGTCCCCGTGCTCCTGTGGCTCACAGTAAACCAGGCCGTCCCCGTGCTCCTGTGGCTCACATTAAACCCGGCCGTCCCCGTGCTCCTGTGGCTCACATTAAACCCGGCCGTCCCCGTGCTCCTGTGGCTCACATTAAACCCGGCCGTCCCCGTGCTCCTGTGGCTCACAGTAAACCAGGCCGTCCCCGTGCTCCTGTGGCTCACAGTAAACCAGGCCGTCCCCGTGCTCCTGTGGCTCACATTAAACCCGGCCGTCCCCGTGCTCCTGTGGCTCACAGTAAACCAGGCCGTCCCCGTGCTCCTGTGGCTCACAGTAAACCAGGCCCTCCCTGTGCTCCTCTCGGGAACACGGCCCCAGAGAGGCACTTTTAATGGGTCCATGTCCTGGAGGAGAGACTGACAGTACCTTCGTCTGGACCATGCCGGGTCTCTGGTCCCTCAAGTGCTCCAGGGTTGCTGCGATATCAATCTCTTTAGCACCTGCAACAAACCACAAATTGGGCTGAGTTCAGAGCACAAGATAATCCATGCCACATCTGTCAATCTTCTGCTAGCCACGTTCCCTCTGGGCTGAGAGGCCAATTGAAAATTATTACACTCATCCCTCAGCAGGCTGGCAGGCGGCTGCAATTTCAGTGTTCATATAGAAGACGAAGGCAGGGGCAGCTTTCATTAGCATTAATTCCAGAAAGCTGGGCTGAAAAATGGTTATAAGATGCTCATACAGATACTTACCAACAGCAGGCCGTCGCCATCAGAAACCAAAGCTGGTTTTCTTTTCTTTTTTATTTTTGTTTGTTTGACACTTCAGGGAATGTCGTAAATCATAGGGAACCACATATAAACTTTACCTTTGATTGCATAGGATTACTTTTTCATTTAAAGAAATAAAAAATCAGATTAATTTAGATTAATGGACTTAACCTTAATATTGGCTTTTAACTGTAGAGTTTCCTGCTTTTTAAACTCTAAGGTTCCACGTTTTGGGTCTGAGTAAAGGTAGCCCATGGCTACTCCCAGCTCGGCAGTTCACCGAAAGCTCCATCCTCCTGTAGACAGCACCGATCTCACGGCAGGTGTTGCTGGCTGCACTCAAATCATGCTATTTAAGTTTTAAATTTTAAGCTAATAATTAATTCAGCACATATTCTTGTTTTTCCATTTTGCTAGGTTCTTTAGTAGACAGATAATGAGCAGGACAGGGTCCCGACCTCTCCAGCATGTTGCAGGTGAGAGGGGGAGACAGGACACAGCCGCCAGGATGAGAAACACGGAGAGGTGTGGGATGAGGAGCAGGAGGCACCTCCGAAGCGGGTCAGAATCCCACAGGGAAACCCACATGGGTGCCAGGCACTTCACGTCCCCTCTACCACGTCCCCTCTACCGAACACGGTGAACTGAGAACCGTGGTCACCCCAGTCGCAGATGAGGAAATGGAGACATGGCCAACGGTGTGTCCAAGCCACAGAGAGAAGGAAGCCGCAGTCATTGGAACCCTGACTACCATGGGCAGGACAGTGCTGGCCAAAGACCTGAGGAGGCCCAGGTGGCCCAGAGTCAGGTGGGCCCCGGGCCTTTCTCTCTGGCCGTAACCTGAGTGCACACCACATTCCTCACCCAGCGAATCAGGAGAGCAGGTTTAAAATTCCTCAATTTCCTTTTCCTGTGGTTCTGCAGCTTCACAGGGTGGCAACTGAAAAGCCAGTGCGGGCTCGGGCTCCAGGATCATCCCAGCAGGGTAGTGGGTGCCTGCAAAGCACCTCCAAGTCACAGGGTCTGCTTCAGAGCCGCAGGCAGCCGGAGGGAAAGGCGGGGTGACAGGGGGGCTGGGGAGGACACGCGCTGGAACCAAATGTCATATTTGCATGAAAGGAGAACAAAGCAGGTGGCACAGAGAATCTGGCCATCAGGACAGCCCTGCAGTGGCTCCACCAGGGAGGCCCGGCGCGAGATGACCACCCCACCTGCCCCGCCTGGCTGGAGGGTCTCTCCACCCTTGAACACAGAAGGTGGAGACACTGGCATTCCCCAGCAGCAACAGGGCTTGTGGTGATGGGAGCCACTGTCGGGGCTAAGCTGGCCGTCCCTCCAGCTCCCATCCTCTCGCTAAAGGACCCCATTCTCCTGGGCAGGGAAGACCATGAGGGCCGCCACCTTTTAAGCCAGGCCTCTGCAGGCAGGAAAGGAGCCTCTCTCTTGGGGCAGCCCCTGTGAGCTCAGCCACCAGGGAACTAGCTGGCAGCTCATGTGGGTGGAAGGTGAGGCCAGGTTCACAGGTTTCCTTAATTGCTCCTCTTTGGGTCTCCAAAGGCCTCAAAAGTCGACAAGGCCACAGTAAATACAATCTTGTTTTAAAAGAAATCCATAAATTTAAAACAGCCTGACACAAACGGGTGAGTTTGCCAAATGGTAGAGAGGAAGGGAGGACGCTGAAGGGAGGAAGCCGAAGGACCCCTCCTGCAGCTACGACTGTGGCGGCCGAGGATGCCGCTTCCTCTCCTCCTCCTCTCACGGGCACTCCGGCAGTTGTGCTCACAGAGCAGAATCATGGCAGAAACGATGCAGGGGGACTGGCCTCTCTGAGACAAGCTTGTCTTATGAAAGTCAAGTCCCTGCATGGAGAGCGTGAGGTTAGTCTCAGCGCCATTGCACGAACGTTCGTGCTTCAGCCAAAAAACTCCTCAGAAACGCCCACATCGTCTGTTGCACCGTGACTGTACCTTTGGTAGGAGCTGTGGCTTCTGCACACATTGTCCCCAGAACTTTGCTGCAGTTTAAATGTGAAAAATACCACAACCGTAGGCAGAAGGATAAACAAGCTGCAATTCACAGCATCTTTCAAGCATCTCAAGTTGGTATAAAGGCTCAAGCTAAACAGAGACCCCAGATGGGGCTCACCCAAAGGAAGGCCACTGGCCACCATGCACTCCACAGACACTGTGCACCCCACAGCCAGCACACACCCCACAGCCAGCACACACCCCACAGCCAGCACACACCCCACACACCCCACAGCCACCACACACCCCACAGGCACCGTGCACCCCACAGCCAGCACACACCCCACAGCCAGCACACACCCCACAGCCAGCACACACCCCACAGCCACCACACACCCCACACACCCCACAGCCACCACACACCCCACAGGCACCGTGCACCCCACAGCCAGCACACACCCCACAGCCAGCACACACCCCACAGCCAGCACACACCCCATGGGCACCGTGCACCCCACAGCCAGCACACACCCCACAGCCAGCACACACCCCACAGCCACCACACACCCCATGGGCACCGTGCACCCCACAGCCAGCACATACCCCACAGCCAGCACACACCCCACAGCCAGCACACACCCCACAGCCACCACACACCCCACAGCCACCACACACCCCACAGACAGCACACACCCCACAGCCAGCACACACCCCATGGGCACCGTGCACCCCACAACCACCACACACCCCACAGCCAGCACACACCCCACAGCCACCACACACCCCACAGCCAGCACACACCCTACAGCCAGCACACACCCCACAGCCACCATGCACCCCACAGCCACCACGCACCCCACAGCCACCATGCACCCCACAGCCAGCACGCACCCCACAGCCAGCACGCACCCCACAGCCAGCACGCACCCCACAGCCACCACGCACCCCACAGCCAGCACGCACCCCACAGCCAGCACGCACCCCACAGCCACCACGCACCCCACGGGCACCACGCACCCCACGGGCACCACGCACCCCACGGCCAGCACGCACCCCACGGGCATCACGCACCCCACGGGCATCACGCACCCCACGGGCATCACGCACCCCACGGCCAGCACGCACCCCACGGCCAGCACGCACCCCACGGCCAGCACGCACCCCACAGTCACCACACACCCCACAGTCACCACGCACCCCACAGCCAGCACACAGCCCACAGCCACCACACACCCCACAGCCGGCACACACCCCACAGCCACCACACACCCCACAGTCACCACACACCCCACAGTCAGCACACACCCCACAGCCAGCACACACCCCACAGCCAGCACACACCCCACAGCCAGCACACACCCCACAGCTGGTATACACCCCACAGCCACCACGCACCCCACAGCCACCACGCACCCCACAGCCACCACGCACCCCACAGCCAGCACGCACCCCACAGCCAGCACGTACCCCACAGCCAGCACGCACCCCACACCCAGCACACACCCTACAGCCAGCACACACCCCACAGCCACCACGCACCCCACGGGCACCGTGCACCCCACGGGCACCGTGTACCCCACGGCCACCACGCACCCCACGGCCACCACGCACCCCACGGCCACGACGCACCCCACAGCCAGCACACACCCCACAGCCAGCACGCACCCCACAGCCAGCACGCACCCCACAGCCAGCACGCACCCCACGGGCATCACACACCCCACAGCCAGCACACACCCCACAGCCACCACGCACCCCACAGCCAGCACACACCCCACAGCCAGCACACACCCCACGGGCATCACACACCCCACAGCCAGCACACACCCCACTGCCAGCACACACCCCACTGCCAGCACACACCCCACAGCCGGCACGCACCCCACAGTCACCATGCACCCCACAGCCGGCACACACCCCATGGGCACCACACACCCCACAGCCAGCATACATCCCACAGCCAGCATGCACCCCACAGCCAGCATGCACCCCACAGCCGGCATGCACCCCATGACCACCACACACTCCACGGCCACCACATACCCCCCAGGAACCATGCACTCTATGGCCACTGCACACCCTGTGGCTACCGATCACACACCCCACAGTCACTGCGTACCCCATGGTCACCACACACCCCAAATTCTGCTGGATTGGCTCTTTAGAAATCATCCAGAAGAAATGGCAAGACGTTTGCTGTTTAACTACCACGTGTAAAAAACAATAACATAACTAAATAGCTTCCCGATAAAAGTAACACAGTATTTCTATGTACAAGGAAACCTACCCTCTCATTTAGAAAGGAAGTCATTCTGCAAAGCAGCTGGCTGCGTGAATAACAGCTCAGAAACTGGAAATGTATCAGCTCCATCTAACACTGGGTGTTGTAACTCCTCACAGATCCCGACTGCTGACCTCAGCACGATGCTGACCTGGACTGTGTGGGGAGGGGACAGGCCGAGGTGCAGGACCAGGGAGGCTCCGTGTGCTGGGGCCTCACATCCACGTTTAGAGCACACTGTCTATCTTCCACTGTTCGCTGCTGGGATTGGAAACCAGGTTCTAATACACAAAATGTATTATAACTAGTCTTGTATAATTAAAAACGTAAGGTGTCTATTGGCTTTTAAGAAATTTTTTCCAACACCAAAAAGAGGTGAGTTAAGGCAGGAGTGCTGGGGTTGCCGACAGACGCCGAGTTGTGTCAGGTGACATAGGGAAGATCGAGCTACAGAGCTGAGGTGTGGGTTTCCGCTCTGC